GATAAAGCTAGTTTGGAGTACTATGGCAGTAAACTTTCCTTAATGGCAGAGTTAATTTGACCTCCCCTGGGATAAGAACAGGCAAGCTGGAATGCAGGGAGAATGGCAAACTGACACTTGTAACTTCAAGCAGCTTAAACCATCACAGTATTGCAGGCTCACAGTGCCCATCTCCCAGATCATCATCAGGTGCCTAAAAATGGGATTCACAAAAGCCAGCACAGTGAGAAAAGCCTACCTGCTCCAACCCACAGGAAACAGCAGGGAAGGGACATTCTGATCCTGCTAGTCCTCAGAATGCAGCCTTATTTCCTGGAGGCTGTGAAGAGGCACTTCTCTCCAGCTGGTATTTCTTACCCTGGCCCTTCTGTAAGACTTATGAATCTGCAGCTTTACACACACACACACACACTTCTTTTGTATGCATGGCTGTGGGAAGATGCAGTGCCCTCTCATATCCCAGATCTTTAGATCTTTGAGATCTCAGATCCCAGGCACTCAAGAGCAGAGGTGAATCAGTCTTTTCAGGTCCCCTCTCTGTCTGAAGGGACTTGAGGGACTGCACAGTACTACAAAAAGCCATTCCCCGTGAAACCCCTCAGCTCTAATATGTTTCCTCAGAAAACAGCAGCTTCAGCAGTTGAAAGAAAGCCACGTTGAAAGAAAGCATGCAAACGTGCAAGTGTGAGAACAAGTCTCCAGCTCAGTGGCTGGTGTGCTGTCCCTGGAGCTGGGACCTTCAGGCTTTGATCCACTCTCACATATGGACCCGTTCAATGGGACCTACTCTGCTGGAACATATGGACAATTCTCAGGACTGCTCACATGCAGAAAACCCCATGGAGTTTTCAGACAGCTATTATAATACAGACATTTCAGAGGAATTTTTCTTCAGAGCAATTTTAGCATGCCCTGTGGACTCAATTCCCATCTAGGATTCCTGGGTGTGCACCCCAACACCTCTCCTTCTTAGAAAGCTGCAGGTGAGGAGGATCAGGCGCTTCCCTCCAAAACCACACTCCGACCCGAATGCAAACAGCAGTTAAAATACACCCGCAGGAGGATTGAAATCCTGCCCTACTGCACGGAAACCCAGATCCCGCTTGCTTTCCGACGCCTTCCACGGCTGCTCAGCAGATGACATAACATTAGTCGTGACTTACTGACACAGGTATTCTACTAAATAACGCGCGAAACAATGGAAGGGAAACGGCAAGGGGTCGACCAGCTTAGTCACTGGGTTCGCTTGCGGTTCTGGGCAGTTCTGGTTCCTGCCTGCGCTGCTGTTGAGCCTTTCAGATAACGAGCTGTGCTCAGCTAGGGGAAGCCCCTCCAGCCCCGCGGCTGCGGCCGCTTCCAGCGGTGGAAGGGGCAGCCCCGCTGCAGCGCTCCCCGCATCCCGCGGCGGTGCGGGAGGAGCACGGGCAGCACCCCCGACTCCCGCACTGCGCCCCTGCCCGCCCTGCAGCCCCAGCTCGGGGCGGCTGCGGCGGGAGGGGCTCCCCAAACGTGCTCGCCGCGCGGCCCCCGGAGGGGGTTTTTGGAAATGGGAGGTTTTGGGAGGGTGGGGAAGCCCCGTCCCAGGGACTCGGCAGGTGGCGACAGAGCACGGGCTTCGGGGGGTGCCCGGCGCTGCGCAGCGCGGACGGGGCGGGGGCGGCTCCGCGGGACGCCCGGGCCAGGGACGCAGAGGTCCCGCTAACGCCACCCGAGCGAACCTTCTTCCTGGAGGGCTTCCCATGAGGATTAAATATTTGTTTTTACAAGTATTCTTCCAGAGAGATATAATAGTATTTCAACTTTAAAAAAAATATTTTTATGTCTCGCACATATACGTTTGTAGATACAAATACTGGAATAATCAGAGCGCATACAGAAGCCTAAAATCCAACAGCAAGGCGCAGGCCGCGGGCGACAGAGAAGGAGAGCTGGAGGCCGCTCCGCCAGCATCCTGGGCCGGCTCGGAAGGGCAAACCTGGCTCCCCATCCCCTGGCGGCTGGACCGCCGAGCTGCCCGCGGTGGCAGGGAGCCCCGAACCCCCAGTGGGGTGAACAGGCTGCATCGGGCTCGGGCATTGTTCGGGGCTCGGGAGAGGCGGCCGGGGGCTCGGGCTGCCAACATCCCGGCGGGATCCGTGGGATCGACCTGCCCGCAGCTCGCCGGTGAGCTGGACGGGGCAGGCATTTGACCGAAAGGGCTGTCCGTCCTTCCCCTGGGGCGCTGGCAGCGCCTGGCCCTTTCCGGGATGTTCCCGGTCCTGTGCCCTCGAGTAGGGACGAGGGAACTGCAGAGCCTCTGGCTCAGTCCTTCTATTTTCCCCTCGCAAGAACTCGAATAATTATTTTCCACCTCCGTTGTCGGCCTCGAGGAAGAAAAAAAAAAGTCCTTCGAGACTCCATTCCTAAAAAAAAAAAAAAAAAAAAAAAAAAGAGCAAGCAGCAGAAGCAGCAGCATCGCTTCTGCTGCACAGTTCATTCGCCTCCTTCTCGAGTCCCTCGGAAAGCAAGATTAAAGGGGAAAGTCGCAGCTGTATATTTATGTTTTCATTGCTAGAAGGGAATTGATTTCCTTGCATTTATTTTTGTAGTTGCAATACACAGGGGCGGATTTGCGTCACCAAAGCAACTTGCTGGTCGAGATAAAGTTGCACAAATATTGAAAAGGGAAGTGCTCGCGCTCATTATGAAGTTTTTCTCCGGAAGAAATAAGGATTTCTGCTGTATCCTAAAATACTAAAGCCGCTTCTATTTTGGGACAAATCTCGCAGGCACATCCGCTCATTTAGTCCGAGTTGGAACCTCTCAAAAAACAGGAGATGACCTGGACTGCAGCGAGCCCCGGGTTTCCTGCAGCCTTCTCCTTCCTTGCGCGGGGAGGAGGGGCCGCCGGCTCCCCCGGCAGCGCGGCCGCGCAGCCCTGCGCGTCCCCGGGCAGGCAGGGAGGCCTTGGGGGAGAAAGGACACCCTTGTGTCCCCCGGAGGCCGGGCGGTGAGGCAGGTGGTCCTGGTTTCGGCCGCGGAGGATGCGCGGGGGCGCAGCGCAGCTGAGCCCCGGGAAAGCACCTGCCCCCGCGGCCCGGACTCCCCGGCTCCCTTGCCCTCCCGAGGCCCAGCCCGAGGGTGAAGGGCTTTAGTGCGAGGCATTCTGCGTTTCCTTTTGGGTTATTTTTGTGCCCGCGGGATGATAGCGGGGTCCCGGCCACCGGCGGCACCGAGGAAGCGGAGCCGTGGCCGTGCCTGGGTCGGGTCCGCCCGGCGTGGCCGCAAACGGGCCCGTCCCTCCGGTGCTGATCATCCACGGGCCCTGCAAGAGGAGTTTTGAAATCAACTCCTAAAAGGAAAAAAAAAAAAACAAAAATCAAAAACACCAAACCACTGCGTTTGGTTTTGTTTGTTGGTTGTTTTTGATTTTTGGGGTTTTTTTGCCTTGTGAGCAGCCCCGGGCTGGTCCAGCGCTCCGGGGTAGCAGTGGTAATTGCAGCAATAATTTAACGAGGTGGTTTGCGGCCGGGATGCAGAGCCCAGGGCACACTTCGTTGCCCGTCCCTCGGGCGGGTTGGCAGGGTGGCTCTGCCCTGCTCTGGGAAGGCGAGTGGAACCGGAGTCGTTCGATCCGGTTTGAGAGAACAGGATGGCGATAAGGTCAGCTGGCGTGAGGGAGAGATGCAAGGAAAAGGGGCTTTCCCATGTAGAGACAGAAAAAGTTGAGGCATAATCAACCTTTTCTTTCTCCGCCTTCGGGTTTCAGACACATCTTGGCAAGCCATCCCGTCTTCATTTTTCGGTTTTGCCTCGTTAGTAAGAACCAAACCAAAGCAAAGAGGTGCCTGGCTTTTCCCGGGGAACCAGCCTCACCTTCATCCGTTGTAGCACACGGTTATGGCTAAGGAACGCATACAGTCTCGCTCGCAGGTGGTTTCAATATTCCCACAGAAGCTACATCTTCATACCTGGCGAAAGAAAAATAGTTCGCCTTTCTGGCGGTTCCCCGAAAACCGTCAGAATTTGGGAAATGTTTTGGGAACATATAATATGATATTTTTGAAACAAAATCAAAGCAAACTTGCAATCGTCCGACCCGGCAGGCTGCTCAAAACAACAGCGACTGCTTTACTTGTACGAAAACTAAAAATAAAGAAATAGTTGATTTTCAGAGTCAGGTCAGGACAAATGTAATGTTAGAGTGGAGGAAAAAAAAGGGCCAAAGACGCTTTCATAAATTTGTCCCTAAATCATTGCAGTAAACGTAGCATATAATTCTGGTGTACTGGAAAAAATGGGGATAGTTCTGTCGTAAAAGGTTTGAGAAATTATAAAGTAGTTTTTAAGGTGCATTTGATGTGCAAGCAGATGCAGCCATAGAGACGGGAACCTGACAAAAATCTATCGTAAAATTGCACTGTCGTCAAAATAATACTAGGTAATTAATCGCTGCTAATGCGGGATCCAACATGTCCTGGGCCCAGAATAACTGGGAGCTCTCATAAATACATATGAGTATCTGCGTGCATCGGCATGGACTCCTTCTCTTCCAGACTATCCCAGGCTCATTTATCTGGGAAGGAAATATATTTCCTTAAGGATCGTTTCCAAGAGGACAAACCTGCTTCCAATGACCAAGAATTTCCCTGCGCATTTCTTTCAAACGTTTGGAAATCGCGGCGGCAGCAAGGGCGGCGACCTTGCGCTTTATTTTTTTGTTTTGGGGGGCGGGGATGGGGAAAGTGGTTGTTCAAAGTCGAGGGCGCAATTGAAGTGGCGGATAGGTGTGTGTTGGGGTGTACTTTGTGGGGCAAGCCGCTCCAAATCGCGGGTCCGGGTCCGCGCAGTTGGCTCCGTGGGCGCGGTGGCCGTCTCCGGCCCCGGCCCTGCGTGGGCGTGTCGGCGGGCGGTGCTGCCCGGCCCCGCGGATCGCGGATTGGGCGTGGGGAGGGAGCGAGGGCTGCTCGTTGCCAGAGAAAGTTTTGGGGAGGGTGGATATTTTTTTCTTCCCCCAGTGCGAGGAAAGGGGGTTTGGTTTGGGTTTGTTTTGTTTGCGCCGCTCCGCTCCTCGTCCGCTCGCTTTCTTCGTCTGGCCGTGCGTTCTGAGGACTTTTTCATTTTCGGGGCTATTTTTTTTCTCTTTTTTTTCGTCATTTTTTGGTGGTTGGCTCTCCCTCCTTGCCCCTCCGGGAAGTGCTCCACCAGCCGCCTCTCGCCCCGCCATCCCTCCCCATGCGCCTGGGGCCGCAGGAAGCTCCGCGGCGCGCACCCGGGAGCTGAGCTGCGGAGCGGCGCGTCCCCTCCTCGAGCAGGATGTACACGGCCGGGCTGGCTCCTTTCTACGCCTCCAACTTCAGCTTGTGGTCAGCGGCGTACTGCTCTGCATCGGGGCCGGCGGCCGGCGGCTGCTTTCCGCTGGACGCCGCGGCGGCGAAGAAGCCGTCCTTCTGCATCGCCGACATCCTCCACGCCGGCGGCGAGGCGGCGGCAGGAGCCGCCGACAGCCTGCCCGGAGGGCCCGGCACCGGGATGCCGGCCGCGCTGGGAGCCGTGCACCACGGCGGTCCCTTCCACGCCACGGCCTCTCCGCTCCGGCCCACGCCCGTCGTGGCCCCCGACGCCCCCGCCGCCGCCTTCCCGCCGCGCCTCTCGCCGCTCTCCGCCGCCTACCACCCGCACCACCACCGTGCCCCGCAGCACCGGTCCCCCGCGGCGGCGGCGGCGGGCGGCGGAGGCGCCCCGGCCCCCGCCCGGCTGCCCGGCGGCCACACGCACGGCTCGGCGCCGGCGCCCGCCAGCAAGGACCTGAAATTCGGCATCGATCGCATTTTATCTGCGGAGTTTGACCCCAAAGTCAAGGAAGGCAACACGCTGAGAGGTAGAGAAATTGGCTTGTCCGCTTTCCCTGCTAACGCTCTCGGTGCTCTGTTACTTTTACTGTGATAAGCGACTACACCCGCGATTTGAAAACTTCTCAATCTAGTCGGGAAAAGAATTATTAAAAAAAAAAAAAAAAAGGGTTATAAATCGGAGTCTCTAACAGCTTTCAGTGAGCCACCGCCCCCCCCCTCCCCGCCCCGGCCTCCGCACGGCAGAGCCGGGGCGCAGGGCTTGAGTCCCTGGGAAAATAGCGATAGCGTGAAAATAGCGAGCGGAGCGCTCCCCACTTCCCGGAGCGGCCGGGGATTTCTGCCTCCCTGGGCACAGCCCGTTTTAAAGGCTTTCGCTGCAACCCATCTCCCCTCGCGGCCTGTAAACATCCTGACCAAGGGAGTAAATATGTCGGAGGATGTGTGACTGCCGGGGCACGGCCGCCTCGAGAGCCCCCGGGGGCGGGAGACGGCTGCTTGGAGGCCCCCCGAGCCCCTCCGACCGGGCACCCGCTCCGAATCATGCCGGGTTGTCGGTCTCGACCGCGGTGTAACAGAGCTCTCCTTGTTCCTGTGCTCGCAGATCTGACCTCCTTATTAACTACGAGCCGCCAAACTGGGGTTCATCTCCCCAACTTGCAGCCTTCCACCGGCCAGTTCTTCGCGTCTCTAGACCCCATTAACGAGGCCTCTGCTATCCTGGGTCCCTTAAACACAAACCCAAGGAGCTCAGTGCAGCACCAGTTTCAAGACACTTTTCCAGGTACATCTCGTCCCTCCTCGACCCTCCCGTGGCGCAGGGCCCTCCGTCCTGGAGCAGCCCCCTTCCTCCCGGAGGGACTCGCCAGGCAATTTTGCAAGGCCAGGGTGTGTGTATCGAGGTTCAGATTTTGGGTGAAAGCCGGGCTACGTGGGGGGGGAAGGAAGAGCCAGCTAGGGCCTGATCTAGAGGACCTTCCCATCGAGTACAGGAGGAATAACCTGGGCCGAGAGAGAAGCAGCGGGGAGGGGGGAGAGGAAGAAATTCGGGTTCCAGACAGCTCCACCCGCACCCGAGACAGCACAAGCTGACAGGACACGTACCCATCGGGAAGGCAGGGCCACGCTGGCCCGGGCCCTCCCTGCACATCGCACTCCAACTCTTATTCGAATCGATTTAAGGCTCCCTTTCAGGCTGCGATATTAATAACGCCGTCTCCCCTTCTCTTCCCCCGCTTTTCTCTTCCCCTCCCCAGGTCCGTACGCAGTTCTAACCAAGGACACGCTGCCCCAGACGTACAAGAGGAAACGCTCCTGGTCCAGGGCTGTTTTTTCCAACCTGCAGAGGAAAGGTTTAGAAAAACGGTTCGAAATCCAGAAGTATGTCACCAAACCGGACAGGAAGCAACTGGCGGCGATGCTGGGGCTGACAGATGCTCAAGTAAGAACGGCTTCGGTTTTATTTCAAACCTTACATCCAGTTTAGATGGATACCAGAGGGCAGTGAGGTTTCAAAGTGTTTTCCCTTCCTTTATCATAAGTGGGGCTGTCTGAGGAGCTTCACCTCCCCCCGAGCATCTCTTGCGCCCAGGTTCCGCGGCATACCGCGGCCCGGTGCGGAGTTTTCGCCTGTATTTTGGCCACCGAGGAGCAGGCCGGGCGGAGAGATGAGCGGTGCCAGGGCAGACCATCAGTGTGCGCTTTACTGGAGCGCAATTTGCCGTAGGAGGCAGTTTAGGGCAAAGGAAGTAGAAGCGAAAACAGTATTCTTAATGTCCCCCTTTTTTCCTTTTTGTTTTTAATTTTTTTTGTTCTAAATCTTTCCTTGCGTTGTGAAATCCTTCGTTCTGAGGAAGTGAAAACACTTCTTCAAACGGAATCATTAAACGCCACTCTGTAATGATTCCACAATTGAGGGCCCGCAGCGCACAGAATTGTATAACGCTGTGGTTTCTTGAGCAAGATTTGGTTTCCTGGAAGAGGAAGTAGAAGGAGAGAGGAAAAAGCTCATCCAAACAAACAAATAAACAAACGCGGGGTGGAGTGTGTGTGGTATTTAAATACACATACTAGAAGGAGGAAAAAAACAAAAGAAAGCCCTTCAGTGGCGCAAGGATGTGGGCAGAGGGAGGGCAGGACGGTGCCTCCTTCTCTGCCCGCGTTGTCGGTGCCGGTGGAAGGGGCAGGGCCGGGCGCGGTGCGGGGCGCGGTGCGGGGCGCGCTGGGGCCGTGCCGCCTGTCTAAGGGCGGTGCGGCCGCAGGTGAAGGTGTGGTTCCAGAACCGGCGGATGAAGTGGCGGCATTCCAAGGAAGCTCAGGCCCAGAAGGACAAGGAGCCGCCGCCGGAGCCGGAGCCGGCGGCCCAGCGAGCCGGCGCACCGCCCGCCGCCCCCGGGGAGCCCCAGCACAGCCCCAGCGGCTCCGACGGCGACAGCGACAGCAGCGACGCCGAGTCCCTCGACATGGCCCCCAGCGACACGGAACGGACTGAGGGCGCCGAGCGGAGCCTGCCCGCTGCCGGGCTGGACAAGTCCTCCGGCAGCACCGGGCTGCCCTCGCCGCCGCCGCCCGCCGCCGCCAGCCCCGAGCCGCGGGGCGGCCTATAGTCGGGGCGGCCCGGGACCTGTGCGCTAATTTATCTCCCTTCCCCCGCCCCGGGAGCGCGGCAAGGCCGGCCAAGCACCGGCCCTGGCCCCGGCCCGCTCCCGCCTGTGGCCAGCGCCCGGCCCGGCCCGGGGCGAGGGGCCGAGGACTCAGGCGGAGCGGGGAGCCCCGGCCCGCGGCGGCAGAGCGGGAGGCGGCCGCCTTTCCCTCAGAGCTGCTCGCAGGAGACTGGGGGATCTCTTTTTTTATTTTTCCTTTTTAATTTTATTTTTTATTTTAATTCTCCGTTTCCCGCTCCTCGTTCTCTCCAAGGAAAATCCGAGCAAGGGACTGCGAGAATGCTCTCCGAAATCCCTACCTTCCCCCCCCAACCAATTTACAATGTGAAGTATTTTGCCAACGTCCTCATTGGTTGCAACTTGTTGCTTCTAATAATCCGGCCAAGAAATACTGCACTGACAAAATATATAAATATATATATATATATAACTCCTGTAAATAAAATGTTTGCTATGGTTTGTAGCCACGTCAGTCTGTTGACCAGGGGCAAGGGCTGGCGTGGCTGCCCCAGCTTCCTTCACCCTTCTCGAAGGCAGCAGCTGCCTCTCCTCGCCTCGGAGCCTCCCCAGGCAGCCTTCTCTTCTTTTATTTTTCTTTCTTTTTCTTTTATTTTTTCTTTTTTATTTTTTCCCCAATGGAGGCAGTGACAAGGACTGGATTTGATGACGCAAAGTTGTGCTCCCGATGAGAATGTGTCCCAGTGACGCTCGTGGTCCCACATGTGCCTGTGCCGTGTGAGGTGACTTTGGATGCCGGGCAGGGCTGAGCCGTCTGACCGCCCGCGACTCCCGGCAACGCTGCCAAGAGCCGGCGGGGCAGTTTTGGGGCGCAGGGGGGACACGGCGTGTGGGATTTGTTTTGTTTCGCTTTGCTGTGCTTTGCTGTCGCTCCGGTTCGCCGCGCACCTCTCCGCAAGCCCCCGTGACGTCACAGCCGGGCTGTGACGTCATACAGGCGCTGTGCGTAGTGGAGAGGCCGATGGCGGGGTGGGGGCAGGGTGAGCACAGCGGTGGTGCGGAGGGGACACGGCAAATTCTCCCCCTATCCCGGTGGGTGCTGCCGGGGCTGGGTGCCCTCCCCGGTGCGTGCTCCACTGGGACTCCCCGCGGCTCCAGGCAGGGATCCGATGCCTCCGCTCGGGTTCATAGTCAGCTTCACCCTCGGAAAAATAAAAAGCGCCGCGCTACTCCGTGCTCCGTTCTTCCTGGGCCACGAGGCAGCTTCGGAGGCAGCCTGCTTCCCCCTCCTCCCTGGCCGAGCAGCACGGATTAGAGCGAACGGCGCGGCGGTGAGCAGCCCCCGTGCTTCCCTCGGGGGAGCGAGTTTTTTTGCCTCGGCACAGAAATCCTCAGGGGCCGGGATCCTGCTCACGGAGGCAGGGCAAGGACAGGAGAAGCCCTTCCTCTGCTCCACAAGCTCGTCCGATGGGCATTGAGCCTGGGACATTGCTAGAAAGAAAGGGGAGATAGAAGAATAAAGCGAAAGACCGGGAAAATGCCGGTGTCCTCCAGTGATGTGGAGGCGGGTGCACGTCTGGCCTCCTCCGCCTGTTGCTTCTCCGAAGGCTCAAGCGAGAAATCCTTCGCGGCCGGGGGAGTTCCGGGGACGACACTCTCCTCGAGGCCACTCTTGTTAGGGAGGACAAAGCCCCGAGGAAAGGGAAAGAACACCCACAGAATTCCCCCACCAGAAGCCCTGGGAAGAAGGAGCTGGGGAATACAGCAGGCCAAGAGATGTCTTGCCGGACGAAAAAGGGAACGGGTGAATTGGTGAAAAATCTGTCACCGAGAGGGCAGAGGCTCTGTCAGGGCCACGGCAGGCAGGGTGATCTCCAAGGGGGGCGCGCACAAAGTTCCGATGCATACCAAGATTCCCGCAGCGCCCGCGCGGGGCAGCGCTCTCGGGCCGCCGTCCCTGACCGACCACTCTTGGGACAGAGAAGTGAGACCGGGGAAGAAATTATCTGGAAGGGCCTTGTAAATTAAGGTTCTGCCGTTAAACCTTGTCAGGGAGAAAACGAGGGGGTGTCACGGCTTATCAGGGCACGGTGTGGGCCCCGCAGTTCGCTTTCAGCCCCACAAAGCAGCTGCGCCCATCATCGCGGGATTTGCCATAATGTTGGAACTCCCCTAAATGCAAGGGAAGCCGCGGGACAGGCGCCCAGCGAAACACGACTGTTTCTCCTCTGATAAACCACCGTGGTGCGGCTCACGGAGCCGCAGGAATTTGTTTGCGTCTTGAGTTTGCTTCCTAAAGACTATGCAGGAGAGAGGGTTTTGGAGTGGCTCTTTTCAGATGAGAAAGGAAAAGCGCGTCGGGAAAGCTTCTCTTCCCTTAGGTTAAAGGAATGTGCGTCTCCTCCAGGGCAGGGCTGGCTGCGCGGGGCCAGGCTCTCTCCACCTCAACATCCCCAAATAACGGGAGCAATGCCCGCCTGGACTTGGGGTCGGGGAGAGACTGAGGCAATGCCTTTATGACATCATTTTAAGATAACACAGCAAAAAAGGGGGAAATAATGCTGTTGGGACTAGAGCTTTGGGTAAAGACGCTCCGGTCGGAATGGAAGAGATGGTATAAAATTCCTTCGTCCTGCGCCCGCTTTTTGTACTCCGTACACCTCGGGTGCTGTTCGGGCCAAGGGACAGAGCGGGAGGATGGGTTTCTTCCTCTCCCCTGGCTACAGGGAAAATTAATTTCTATCTCTCTCCAGTGTGCTCCTGCTGTGCACTGCAGGTAGAGCAAATCCATGAAAACGAGTTTGGGGAAGGATGCGCCCATGGAGGGATTTGTGCCTGTCTCTATAGGGAATGGAGTTTTTCCCCGTCCCGGGAGGCTGAAGTTACTGAACGATTTCTGCGGGAAAAAAATTAGGACAGTGTCGTGACCTCAGGCAGCTCCAGCGCCGTCGGCTGGCGAAGGCGACATGTCCGCAATGCAATGCAGCACCCCCGCTCCCAGAACAGGTCAAAGAAAGCTTGAGGAAGCCTCTATTTTGCTGGCTTGTTATGGCCTGGTAACACGAAACGCTTTTGATGCTGGTTGTCTCTGAGCCAGAGACGCCCGAGCTCACTGTTTTACTGTCGACCCAAAAACCCTCGACGGTGTTGCAATCGGGGACAGCGGCTTTCCGGGCGGTCTCCTCACCTCCCCTAAACCCTCTGTGCCTCTTCCCAAATCTGTGCCGGGCACCGCAGCCCCCTCGGGCTGTCCCCGCCCGCCGCAGCGCGACTGGGTGACAGCGGGGTGTCGCGGCGGGGCCGGCAGGAGCTTCCCCGGAGCTGCTCCGGTCTCCACGGACCCGGCCAGGGCACACTCTCAGCACAAACTCTCTTCGTTGCTTCGCTTCCCCACCCGGACGCCCGGCAGAGATTTTTCGTGCTGATTTCAGATAAAAAGTCGTACCAGAGACCAAGAAGCGGGAGGGATATACGCTGCCGCACGGAGGACAGAGGTTTTTCCTTCCTCCTCCTGCCTGGTGTGTATGGGAAATCGGATTAATACAGAAGCGGGAGGGTTCGCCTTGCCGCTCCGATATCCCAGCCCTGTCTGGGGGCATCCGCACTCGCAGAGATGCGCAGCCGGGCTGATCAGAGCCCGGTCCGGCCGGCCTTCTTCCCGGGGAGCAGTTTAACAATAACCCCACCTTTCCCTGGCTCTGTGTTAGGAAGTCCAACGAGATACTTTTCTTTTCGCCCGATTTCTTACTAGAGACCTCCCATCTCCAGAGACCCGTCTCAACCTCAGAAATAACAGCCACATTAGAAGGAAAAAAACCAACACCCCAAAACAATAATACAACAAAACAGAAGCAATATTTCAATCAAGCGATACACGGTGCAAAAGGGCAGGGCGAGGAGCTGGCATCAGGGTCCGCCTGCGTCCTGGCCGGCGAGGACAGGGTGTCCGTGCGGTCCCCTCGCCTCGGGGCTGCTCCCCCCAGAGCCCCGTGGGCGCGGAGCCGGCGGCAGCGAAACCCGAGTTCGCCTCCCTCGTTAGCAGAGCAAGACCGACCTCGCTCCTTAGGAAAATATTTTTATTTTATTTTAATGTCGGGCTTAAGCTGATGTCTTAAAAAATAATTGTTTTCAGACCCCAGTTAGCTCGGCATCGCCGTTTCACACTCGCAGGCACACAGAGCTTTCCCTGCAGTTCATGCCTCGGGACTGCCTGGCGTCGGCAAGACAAACTGCAATCTCCAAAATGTCAACTTTTGCCACAATCTCGACTAAAAAAACCACCCCCTTCTTATTGCTGTTGAGCGCTCATCAGAAATAATGGCTGTTTACACAAAACCTTTATTCACTTTCTTAAATAAACACCAGTGAATTCAAATAAAGCAAAGCCTCAACTATAATTCAAGCACAACGTTTGCTGTGTGTATTCTCGGCTGCGGACCTGGAGAGACTCCTCGGAGAGAAATATGAGGTCTCTTTTCATAGTCCACCTCCATTAGCTAAATATGCTAGCTCACCTCGGCCAGGTTTATACTACTTCGGTTTTTCTTTTTTTCCCCTCTTTATGTTTTTCCCCAGCTGAAGCGGAAATATTTCCTCCCTTTTCCCCAGTCCCTTCTTACAGAGGTGTGGTCCGGACGCTTTTCTTTTTAAATCAATTTGCAGAAGCCCCTTCCCCTCCTCTTTCCCAGCCCCAGCCCGGGTGCGCGCTGCGGGATCACCACCGCCCTCCGCAGCCCGCCCGGCCGCGGATGCTGGTGGCTCGGCGGGCAGAGGTGACTCTGGTTACAAGGGAAGGTGTGTGGCTTGTGGAGTGGCGAGCACAGTGAGTGGATGCCAAGGTCTCGCTTATCTCGGAAAGAACCGCTTGTGAATGCAGTTCGTGCAGACCCCCGAGCTCAGCCGGGCAGCGGGAGCGGCGGCCCCGCCGTCCATCGCCCCTCGAGGGAATCGCGTCCGTGCCCTCCTGCTCCCCTCATCCCCGCCGC